GACTCGCGCCTCTCTCGCCCCGCCTTGTTCCGCACGGTGGCCGAGGGGGTAGGGGAGAGGGGCGGAGACACCCTCCTCCTCCTCCTCCTCCTCCTCCTCCTCCTCCTCCTCCTCCTCCTCCTCCTCCTATCCTCTTGTCCTCTTCTCCTCCTCATCCTTTTCCTCCTCTTCCTCCTCCTCGACCAAGCCTGGCGCCAAGATGGGTCTCGCAGTCTCGCAGCACACCTTGAGCTGAGTGGGTGGCGCAGCCCATTGGTTATGCCCGTACCACCTCTGCCACCACTCGCTCCAGATCACCACCTCCCCCTCTTCCTCCTCCTCCTGCTCCTGATCCTCGTCGTCGTCATCATCATCATCATCATCATCATCATCATCATCATCATCAGCATCATCGCTATCATCATCACCATCCTCATCAGCATTATCATTATCAATATCACCATCAGCATCAGCATCATCATGGTCATCGTCATCATCATAATCATCGTCATCGTTATCATCGTCACAATGTCATCACCAGCAGCAGCATCATCGGCATCATCGTCACCAGCATCGTCATCATCATCAGCAGCAGCATCATCAGCATCAGCAGCATCAGCATCATCAACAGTATCATCATCATGATGATGATGAGCATCATCACCGTCGTCATCGGCATCGTCATCGTCATCATCGTCATTACCAGTATCATAATCATCATCAGCATCTTCTTCCCCCTCCTCATCCTCATCCTCCTCATCGTCGTCATCGTCATCATCATCATCTTCATGGTCATCACCGTTATCATCATCATCAGCATCATCATCATCATCATCATCATCATCATCGTAGTCATCGTCATGGTCATCATCGTCATCATCATCAGCAGCAGCATCAGCATCGCCATCATCTTTTAATCATCATCATCGTCATCATCACCATCAACAACACAATCATCATCAGCAACATAATCATAAGCGTCATCAGCATCCTCATCCTCGTCATCATCATCATCAGCATCATCATACGCATCGTTGTCATCGTCCGTAGCCTTATTCTAATCCTCATCCTCATCCTCATCCGCATCCTCATCCTCATCCTCATCCTCCCCCTCCTATCCATGTGGCCAGGCTAACCGCGTGACCAGTCCGCCTCCTCCCCCTCCGTTTTCTCCTCCTCCTCTTCCTCCTCCTCCTCCTCCCCCTCCTCCTCCTCCTCCTCCTCCTACTCCTCCTCCTCCTCCTCCTCTTCCCGTAGCCATTTTGGCTCAAGGTTTTGGTTTCCCAGGGGAAACAAGTGGATACCGCTAGTCCGCGGCTAGACCCCAGTTTCTTTCATCGCACCGGTGGGTGAGTCGCCCCAGGCGACGCAGCATCCTGTGAGGCTCCTCTGGAGCAAGACGACGACCCCGCCTGGTCAGCCCCAGGATCGGGAACAGACGCTCCTGCAGCCATGGCGCCGAGGAGCTGGTGGCGCGATGCCGCGCCCTGGCGCGCCGGCCCCAACTGGAAGTGCACGGAGTGCGGGTGCGGCAAGAACCTCGGGGCCTGGACATGGTGCAAGCACTGCCAAGCACCACGGCATGAGTCAGGCGACGCAGCACCGCCAGCGGTGCAAGGGCGCTGGGCGGACCGCCCTAGCATGGCTCCTGGCGGCCCTGGTGCAGCGGGCCCTGGCAGCCAACCTGCAGATCACGACGGCTTCAACGTGGACAAGCTCGACCTCCCCGAGGTCAACGAGTTGTGCACTGTCGCCACCAAGATGGGCAACACAAAGCTCCAGGAGCGCTGCAAGGCGAGGGTCGACACGATCAACCGCCTGGCGGCAGGAGGACCCAAGAAGTCCCTGGAGCTGCAGCTGTCCAACATCTCCAACACCCGCGACAAGCACGCCAAGGAGCTCGAGTCGGCCCTGGACAAGCTCAACAAATGGGAACGTGAGCTCGACGGCCAGAGGGACTGGGTCACCCAGCTCAACGCCGAGCTCGAGGACTACAACGTGCAGCACTAAAAGGTCCTCGCCCAGCTGCACGAGCTGACCAAAGCCAAGGCCCCCCGAGCAGCCAGCGCTCGCCCTTGGCGCGCTGCTCGACGGCACTTGCAGCAGCAGCATCAAGATCGACATGGGCGCATTCTTCGACTTCGAGGAAGGAGACACCACGACCGAGGACCGAGAGGAGACGAGCAAACGTCAGCGAGCACTCGAGGAACAAATCACAACTTGGACAAGGGAAGTCTTCGACGAGGCTGCTGAGCACGCGCTGTCCGTCAAGCAACAACGCCAGGAACATGCGCAGCGGCTGGCCAAGAAGCGCAAAAGGGGACACTGGTAAGGGCCCTCAGCCTCCAGCAGCGGCAGCAGCACCAGCAGGCCCAGCCAGCCAGCCGCAGGCGAGTGCAGCTGGAGGCGCTGCAGCGGCGCCGCCCGCAGCGGAGCCGCCCAGAGGCACCTGCCCCCCACCGATGCAGGGCGCGCTGAACTCCAGAGACGCACGAACGAGACCCTGGCCAGGCGCAAGAAAGACAAGGTCAAGGAGAGCAACGACCAGGCCCCTACCTCAGGCGCCCAGCCAGTGGCAGGGGCCCAATCCGCTTGAGCCAAGGGCATGCGGGGCGCCCGACCACAGCCCCGCACATCACGCTGGACCCAGAGGAGACGGACCAGCATGGAGCGCCAGATTCGTTGACGGCGCATCCCCGACAAGAATGGGCACTCTCGGGGACACGATCATCATCAAGGCAGGGACCTGGGCGGCAGGCGACTCCGACCCAGAGACAGACGCGGACTTCAACGACAGGATGGACACCTGCGTTGACATCTACGACATACAGCGAGGCTCTGCGGGGCGTGGGCTGGGGGGGGGGCGCCTGCAGGGGGGGCGCGGGCCCTTGGCCCCCGAACGGTCGCGGCGTCCGCCGAGAACGACGTTGAGAGCATCGACCTGAGCGGCGCCCAGCTCACCGCGGACGCCGCCGACGGGCGGGTGGCCGACGCCGTCCACGGTTCGAGCTTAGAGGAGCTGCTCAGCGGGGCCAGCGCTCATGCCCCCGCTTTCTGTGCCGAGGCTGCTGCACGAGAGGTTCAGGATCTCGCGCAGCCCTCGGTCAACGTGTCTCAGCAGAACCGCCGCCTGCTGCGAGGTGGCGGGGGCGGCGCTGCCCCTGACCGCATCAGAGGGGGTTGCATCGGGTGCGCGCGGGCTGCCGCGGACGCGCGGGTGGTCGACGCCTCCCGCAGCACCCAGCTCACCGCCGACGCCGCCGACGGGCGGGTGGCCGATGCCGTCCGCGGCTCGAGCGCTGCCCCCCCCCCCCCCCCCCCCCCCAAGCATGGTCAGGGGGCCTTCCAGGGCGTGCTGCCGCCTGGTGGACGGCCCTATCTTCGAGGGCGCAGAGCAGACGACGCCCCCCCCCCCCCCCACGCGCTGCTGCAGCCTGTACCTGGTCGCGGGTTCCAGCCCTCGCGGGCTGGGGAGGAGCGTGCGCCCAACCAGCGAGCCCATGAGCAGCCTGGAGCGGAAGGCTTGGTGCCCTGCGGAGTGCAGGACCTTGCCGAGGGCTCGCTGAGGGTTGTGCAACCTGCGCCACAGCAGGCAGCCCGAGTGTCCAGCGCCTCTCCCCCGCCAGTTTTTTTATTATTATGTTTGGTGTGTGTGTGTGTGCGTGTGTGTGTGTGTGTGTGTGTCTGTGTGTGTGTGTGTGTGTGTGTGTGTGTGTGTGTGTGTGTGTTGTGTGTGTGTGTGTGTGTGTGTGTGTTGTGTGTGTGTTGTGTGTGTGTGTGTGTGTGTGTGTGTGTGTGTGTGTGTGGTGTGTGTGTGTGTGTGTGTGTGTGTGTGTGTGTGTGTGTGTGTGTGTGTGTGTGTGTGTGTGTGTGTGTGTGTGTGTGTGTGTGTGTGTGTGTGTGCGTGTGTGTGTGTGTGTGTGGGGGGGGGGGGGGGGGGGGGGGGGGGTCGGGCGCAGCAGCCACCTCATACATTGATATCGACTTTCTCTGGGGCGACGAGCCCGTCTTGTGCGGGGCCGCAGATCGCGAAGAGGCACCCCCGCCTCGAGCCTACTCAGGAGTCAAACCACCGCTGGCCACGATGGGGGAGAGGGGGAGGACGAGTACTCCCTGCGTCTCCCAGAGGGGGGGGGGGGGGCGGGGCGAAACCCGCGCTGTCGCGTCCGCTCCACGGAGGATGGTGGCGGGCGTGCCGACCGCCCCCGCCCCGCACCAGGATGATCTGACAGCGTCGTCTCGCGGCATACTAGTGGCTCAGTCCGAGGCGGCGCGGGATCGGTTTCACGTACTTCACTGGATGCAGACGCCGAGTTCAACGGCAGGATGGACACCTGCGTTGGCATCAGCGACATACGCCAAGGCCCTGCAAGGCAAAGGTAGGAGCTACCGCCTGCAGAGGAGAAGCGACCTCTGGCCTCCCAGAGGTCGCGGCTTCTGGCGAATACGACGCAGAGGGCATCAACCCTAACGGCAACATCGACCAGGACAGCCACGACATCCAGCACCCCATGGACGTCGCGGACCTCACCGTGAGCAACTCCCACGACGGCAGCGCCAGAGGAGCAGGCTCACGGTCAAACCAGCCCAAGCGTGGCAAAGGAGGGGCATCCAAGGCAGGAGTCAGAACCAACGGCGCCAACTGTTCTACATGGAGCGCGGCCAGTGCGCTGCTCGACCCCCTCTGCGGTGGCCAGGTCTGGGCTCTCCTTGGGCAAGAACATCAGCCGAGCAACCAATGGATGCCCGAGATCCTCGCCTCCACCTAGAAGCGAGGCATCACCCTGGCCATGGCCAGGTCTGCCCCTGGGCCACACGGAGGGCTTGGCGCAGGGGTATATATTGCAGTGCCCCCAGCCATTGGCCTGGCGCCGCTGGCAGGATACAAGGACTTCGACCACTCACCCCCTGGATCACCAGGACGTCTGTGCGTGGCCTGGGCACCCATTTGAGGCAAGGGAGGCATGATGCTCATATGTGTGTACATGTGGGTCTCTGAGGGCCTCACCATCAGGAACCCC